GGAAAGCCGTTCGTCATTGGCGGCGACTTCAACGCTCTGGAATCTGAGGTGAGGGACACTGGGTTGCTTGAGAAAATTGACGGGGTCATAATTCTGACTGGCAAGCCTACGTGCAGAGTGGGCAAGGAATGGCGCGAGATAGACTTCTTCATTGTGTCGGCGAGCTTAGTGCCCTGCGTTTGGCGCTGCGATCGATTGGAAGGGTCTGAATTGTCTACCCATTACCCCATCAGAATGTCGATCAGGACTTGTACTCACCTTGGCCAGATCAGATGTTTGTGGACGCCCAAGAGGTTCCCTGATCTTCCGATCGGTCCTGCGCCTGCCCCGCCAGCTTGGTGGGAAGGCATTCAGATTCAGGTTGAGCAGCTGGTCCGAGAACCAGCAGTCACGCAAGCTCAGGTCTCGCAGGCTTATGCATCCTTTTGCCAGGCAGCTGAGCTAGAGCTCGCGGATATGTACCAGTTGGAGCTGTCGGGCTCCAAGGGGAACTTTTTCGGCAGAGGCGACAAGTTTAAGTTCGTGCATAAACCGGCCATTGTCAAGGTTGGCGGGCCACATCCCCTTGGGTCTCCAGTGTCTAGGGCGATGCGCAAGTTCCACGCGCGCCTAGAAGAGTTGGGGCACCTCAAGCGTAAGGGATACGTCGACGACGATTTGCAGGTCTGTGAAATGAACCGAGAACTTCAGAAGGCTCCTGAGCTGCTCTGGCACTCTTCTGGCTGGCGGAAGTGGCGTGCTGGGCATTTCAGGTTCAGGGGCTATGGGGCGGCCTCGATCAGGGACGCCTTGTTTGAGTTGAGCAAGCTGATCCAGTCCGAGGAGGCTTCTTGGGTTAGGCATCGTCAAAAGAGGTGGAGATCTCGGGCTTCAGAGGCGGTGTCAAACGGGGGGAGGATGGCTCACAGGTGGGTGAAGGTCCCGAACGAGTGGATCCCAGATGAGCCAGGCCCCGATGGAACCCCAGGAGGCGCGATGGACCAGATTGAGGCACTCGAAAGTGAATGGAAGGGTATTTGGAGGTACGGTGACTTGAAGGAGCCCGAGGCCCTACTTTTGCAGTCCTTACCCATGGATGACCCTCCAGAGCCACCTGAGCCTCAGGAATTACGTCGAGTTCTTGGGAAGTTTAAGAGTCGGACGGCGGTGGGGGCCTGCAGGTGGCCGCCATCACTTTTGAAGTCCTTGTGTGATGACGGGCTTCGTGTATTTGGACTCCTGCTGCACAGGTGGGAGGAGTTCGTGTGTCTTCCTGAGCAGATCATGCTGCTCATCCTCCCCTTCCTCCAGAAACCAGAAGGTGGGCGGCGACCGATAGGTATTTTGCCCACACCTGTTCGTGTTCTTGGGAGGTTGCGTCATCGGGAGGCGGAGAGATGGGGGGAGGTGAACCACAAGGAGTACATGTACGGGGGGAAGGGACGGAGCTGTGAGATGGCGGTGTGGAGGCAAGCGATTAACAACGAGGCGGCTATCGCCAGCAAGTTTTTCAGTGCCTGCACGTTGATTGACCTTGAGAAGGCTTACGAGAGAGTGACGCACCAGCTCCTGCTTCGTTCGTGTCATCGGCATGGCTTTAGCATCAGGCGCATTCGAGTGCTCCTCTTAGTATACGGTGGGCCTCGCAGCATTAAGGTTGGCGAGGCCCTGTCCCTCCCTTTCACAGTCAACAGCAGCGTAGTCGCGGGGTGCTCTTTCGCGACGACGCTGTTGAAGATAGTCCTCAAGGATGTGTGCGACGATTTTATGGCTAGATGGCCCCGTCTTGGGCTGGCGCTCATGGTTGACGATTCCACCCTTCAAGCATTGGGGTCCGAGCCATACGTGAAGAAATCACTGGTGTCGGGGACGTTGCAGTTCTGTCGGGGCTTGGAGGCCTTGGAGATGAAGGTTTCCAGGAAGAAATGCATTTTGGTGGCATCGGACATCAAAGTGGACAGATCTCTGCAGCATAGTTTGAGAGAGTTCAGTTTCAAGTATGTGCCCGCGGCCAAGAACTTGGGCATAGACTTTAAGTTGGCCTTCAACAAGGGCAGGCAGGTGACGAACAAACGAATCACCACTGTTCGTGGACGAGTGCGACGATATCGAGCGTTCCGATTCTCGAAGAAACCGATTCAGCAGGTCTTCAGAGGTGGGGGAACGCCAGCTGCGATGTACGGGGTGGGGGTGGTGGGGGTGTCCAACGCCTCACTCCAGAAGCAGCGGGCCACGACGGCCGCTGCCCTTTTCGGCCCAGCCAAAGGAAGGTGCAGGGCTGTGCAGTTTTTACTTGCAGAGGTGCCGCAGGTTGACCCGTCGTTCCTGGCGAACGCCTTGCCACTCATGATGTGGTGCAAGGCTATTTTTTTGCCGTGGGCTTCAGAGGCGCAGATGCAGACGGCCTTTGACAAGGCCAAGAAAGAAGCTGCGAGAGGCTGGAGTGGAGTCATCGGCCCCGCTGGGGCGGTGGTACAGACTCTGATTAGGTTGGGTTGGACTGGGACCTCCTGGTGCAGTTGGGTTACTTCGTCGGGGCTTCGTCTGGACTTGCGTGAGTTGGGTCCTCGTACGATCAAGGCCCTCGTAGACGACACCACGGAGCAGCTCAGTTTAAAGAAGGTTAGCGAGTTTTCCGACCTGTCTTGGGAGCCTTTCCTGGACCCGATCAGAGGTGTGATTGCCGAGCTGAGAAAGAGAGGGGACCATCTTGGGATCAGCCTTCTTATCGCTCAGGTTTCTGGAGGCCTCTGGACGCAGAAAGACCTGTTCAGGCAGCGCTACACTTTGGACCCGCTCTGCAGGTGGTGCAAGGCCCGTGAAGGGTCCGTGCATCACAGGTTATGGGGCTGCGATGGCTCCTGGTTTTTACGGCGTGATCTTGACCCAGGGGGTAATTTGCTGAAGCAGGGGATCAACGCCCAGGTAGATCTTAGATGGACGCGAGCGTTGGTGCCCAGTGACCGCGAGTCCATCCCGAAGATTTTGCACGGAGCTGATTTCAAGTGGGCCCATCCTCCTCACCGTGATGGAACCCTGGGGCCATATGTCTGTGTCGATGGTTCTGGATATGACAATGACTACAGATGGTTGGTCCGAGCAGGATGGGCAGTAGTATCCGTTTCTTCTACGCTGGAGGTGGAGGCCATAGCGTATGGCCCGTCGCCGCTTCCAGTTCAGGACGTTCCAAGTTCAGAGCTCTACGCCTTTTTTCTGGCCCTGTCGCTCATGGGCCCAACGATCACGATTTGCACGGATTGTCAGATGGTCGTCGACGGGTGGGAGGCTGGGGAGGCAGGCACTACTCATCCAAACAAGGCGTATACGGAACTCTAGAGGCAGATTTGGAGGAGAGTCGAGGATGTTGGGAGAGAGAACGTCCAGGTTGTCAAGATAGTCGCGCACCAGTCGCGGCGTGCGGCATTCAACCATGGAGTACCGCCTCATTTTTTCCATGGGAACAGGCTCGCCGACGAGTGGGCCAAGACGGGTGCCAAGGCGCACCCGATGAATTTCCACGTCCGAGACAGGATAAAGTTCCATCATGATCAAGTGACCCTGTTGGCCAGGTACCTGACTGAGGTGTTGAAGTATGTGCACAGGTTAGGGTACCCCGACGTTGAGGCCATCAAGGAGCGTAGGCAGCGGACCCTTGTTAATTCAGAGGCCCCCCTGCTTGAAATAGTTCCAGACGATAAGGGTCACAAAATATCACAGGTTCCAGGTGGGTGGGGCTGCTGTGTCTGTGGGATCGGGCGGAGTTCGCGCTCTCGGCTGGTGCAGCTGCCGTGCCCTGGGGTCCCCGTGGTCTTCCTGAAAGCTCACACCACCCACCGCCTCTGGGCCAATGGGCCAGTCTTGTGGTGCTCGGCGTGCGGGGTGTACGCCCAGCAGCAGGTCAAAGATCTTGCTGAGAGGTGTGCTTCTCGCGCCGTTGGCGAATGGAAGAAGAGGTCACTGCGCCTCTTGAAGCAGGGCAAGAACCCGTCCGCGCCGAAGGCGGAGGCGGTCGTGCCCGTGCCTCTCCATCGGTGAGGTTTGGTTTATAGTGCGGGCATCTTGTTTCCACGGGATGCGTCGCTTGGCAGCGCAGAGCGCAGAGGAGGAGGAGGAGGAGGAGGAGGAGGAGGAGGAGGAGGAGGAGGAGGAGGAGGTGGAGGAGGGGGAGGAGGAGGAGGAGGAGGAGGAGGAGGAGGAGGGAGGAGGAGGAGGAGGAGGGTGAGGTGAGGGTGAGGGGGAGGGGAGGGGGAGGGGGGGGGAGGGGGAGGGGAGAGGGGGGAGGAGGAGGAGGAGGAGGAGGAGGAGGAGGAGGAGGAGGAGGAGGAGGAGGAGGAGTTGCAGGTGTGTGGGCGGCCGTTCTCTCACTTCCTCCCCTCTAGAACGGGGCCGTCTACGTGTAGCCGTCGCGCCCCGGGGCGCGGGGCTGGCGCGCGGGCGTCTGGGTGACGCGAGGAGTGTCACCACGCACCAAACCTCCCCAACCCAATCCGAAGGTCCCAATTTGCCCTCCATTTCCAGTGTGGTGGGTCGGGGAACATTGAAAAAACACACATGGAACCCGTACCTTCCCAATCCGAAATTTGTGTCTTCGGGTTGGGTTGGTGTGGTCTGGTAGGTAGTCAGGGTGGGAGCAATCAGGCTGAGGGAGCAATCGGGCTGAGGGAAGGGAAGCGGCCGGGGAGTAGCAGGAGCGTTTTGCCTTCCTATGCCGCCGGGCTTCGCCAGGCGTCTCGCTACCTTCGTTCACCATTTTTTTTTTGCTCTCCCGCTTCTCCCTCTCTGTCCCATATTCCCTTCCTCTCTGTGCATCTCTCTGCCTCTGTCTGACTCTCTCCTCTCGCTTCACCAGCCTCTCTCCGTGTCGTCAACGTGGCTTTCGCTACACTCGGATCGTGGTCGGGGCGTCGCCGCATCGGGGAGAAATGCGCGCCCATCCTTTGCCGCCGGGCTTTGTCCATCTCTTCCTTGACCGACCCCCGCTGAGTGCCGGTGCTCCCTTTCCCTGCCGCCGCCACGCCTCCAGGACGAGTACAATGCCGCCTGCCCGTCCTCCTCCGCGGCCGCCGACTTCTCGAACGCCATGTCTGACGCGGAGAACACCATGAAGGAGGGGAGCGGCGTGTTTCCTCCTCCTCCTCCTCCTCCTCCTCCTCATGTTCGTCCTCCTGCTCCTCTTTCACCTCGGAGAGCTTCTGGGGGTTGGCACGATATGCTACCCTGGCCCCCTGCCTCATGTCTCGAACCTTCTTCCCCCACCCCTCCTGCCTCCCCCCCACTCTTTCCTCCTGCTTCCTGCCTTCCCCCCCTCCTCCCTTCAATTGATGCAGCGACATGGTGTTGGGAAGGCCTGACGGCCGGTGCCGCCGACCCTGAAGGGGGACGACCGCGAAGATGCTGACGCTCTGGAACCCTTCTTGGGGCTCGCTCGGGAGCCTCCTGGGCTCTGTTTGGGGGCCTCTTGGGGGACCTCTTGGGAAGCTCCGGATCGGATCTGAGGCCTCATGGAGGCACGTGAGGAAATACGCAGCACCCCGCAACAGCAGATACGAGTGATGAGGGTGCTTCTGGGGGAGGGGGCTCGGGAGAAGGGGGGGTTGGTGGTGGTCCCCTCGTCCACAGGGGAGAGGCGGGGGGAGGGGTCCCGAGTTCGCTGTCCACGGGGAGACCGCCCCCCTGTCCCCCTTGTCCACAGGGGGGAGGTCACGACCCCCGGACTCACCCTGGGACCCCCCCCCCGGACTCCTCCAGCGAACCCTCCTGGGACGCCTCTCGGGAGCCCCCCCGCGATCCAGCCCCCCTGGCAGGGAAGGGACCAAAGGGAATGGGCTTCCCTCCGAGTTAATTACGACGTTGTTTGATTGTTGTTTGGCTGGATCGCTTGAGGAGCGTCCAGGGAAAGGGCGTGAGCGACGACGGCGACGACGACGACGACTCAAACGGAAAAACGTTTCACACACGCCGACAGGGTCGGCGGATTCCAGATACCGCGCAATTGAGCAGACAGATGGTGCGGCGACGGGCTGCCCAGATAGTGTAAGACACAGCGTCGGTACTCCTCCCGCTCGTAATTCTTGGTGCTAGTGATGTCAAAGGGTTTTGTTTTGTTTGGGCCTCCAGGGTATGTAGTACACCTCTGAACTTGGGATGACGGAAAGAGAGAGAGGTACGAGTGATGGCGTTGTAGGTGGGGCGAAGCCCTATAGGGATGAGTGCAGAGGAGGGGCGTAGCCCATGCGCATCCTGGCGTTGACACGCGCGCCCGGCCCCAAGACGGCTTAGGACGCGCTCAAGATGGCCTCAGGTATTCTCAAGACGGCCTTGAAGCGATCCAAGACGGCTCAAAGAATGTCCCAGGGCGCTCCAAGAGAGAACAAGACCGCTCAGGAAGAGCGTTCCAAGATGGCCTAAGATGGCCTCAAGACGGTCCCACACGGCCCCAAGCAAGACGGCCCCAGAGGCCCTTCAGAGTACCCCACAGAGGGCCTGAGGAGGTAAACAACATTGATATTTCCAATGATTTTCGACGGTTCTTGGGGAATTCGCCTTTTCTGGCTTCCGACGGCCCAAGACGGCCCAAGAGGCCCCAAATATCGTCCCAAGACCGCTTGGGAGGCGCTCAAGATGGCCATATATGGTCTAGGGTCTGGGCCCCCCCCTCCCCTTTCCCCCCCAATGGGTGTGCCATCAGGCCCCCCCCACCCTCTCCCCCGATGGGTCCCTCCCCCCCCTGTGGATGTAGTGTGGGTGTGGTGTGTTGCTGTGGGTGTGTGCGGGGTGGCGCCATGGTCCTCCTCCCCCCCCCCTCCCACCCAGTGGGTGCGGTGTGGGTGTGGCGTGTGGCTGTGATTGGCGTCATGTTGACAGCTCCAGTGCTCGACGTCGTCGCCGCCGCCGCTGGTGGTGCCGTCGACGTTGTCGTCGTTGTCGTCGTCGTCGTTGTCGTCGTCGTCGTTGTCGTTGTCGGTGTCGTCGTCGGCGTCGTCGTCGTCGTCGTCGTCGTCGTCGTCGTCGTCGTCGTCGTCGTCGTCGTCCCCCCCCCATCCCATGTGGGGCGGGAGGGGGGGGGCTTGTGAAACCCTGGGGCCCATCCCATCTGGGGGGGGGAAAGGGGGGGTCTTTTGAACCCTGGACCCGGGATCATATATACCCCCAAGACGGCCCCAGAGAGGTCCAAGACGGCTCCAAGACGGTCCCAGAGCGCTCCAAGAGATAACAAGACCGCTAAGGAAGAGCGTTCCAAGATGGCCTAAGATGGCCTCGTAGACGGTCCCTGAGGATCCCGAGACGGGCCCAGAGACCTTTACGAGGACTCCCGAGAGTGCCTCAGGACGACCACAGAAAGCCGCAAGAAGCTTTCAGAGAGGCCCAAGAAGGCCCCGAGTGGCCCCCACGAGTCCCAAGAGTGCTGTCGGAGGCCCCCAAGTAGGCCGAAGAGAACCCCAAGAGGGCCACAAGACCGGCCAAGCTTCTCGAGACGGCCCAAGAGGTCCCCAGAACGGCCCAAGAGAGCGCCAAGACACC